TTATTATTATTATACCAGGTAGTTTTGGATGTTGGGTGTGGAACTGGAATTCTCTCTATGTTTGCTGCTAAAGCTGGAGCAAAGAAGGTTCTTGGAGTTGATCAATCCGAAATACTTTACCAGGCAATGGATATCATAAGGTAGATGCATCTTAAGTCTTCATTTAAGATTATTTGAAAGGTTGATGATTAACAGGTTTTCTTGTCTTTAGTAACTTTCTAATGCAGACTAAAGACATTTGTCTTTTAGTAAAAATTCTTTCCAGAATAAGATTTTAAGTTGAATTGAGCTAGACATGTTTGAGTTGTGGTGCTGAATAATCTTTTCACAGTTCTCACTTATGAGAATTATTTTTATATAGTTTTCTAGCTTCCCAACTATGGCTGTAAATATGCTAATTCTAATAATATAAAATTAAAAGTCATTGATATAAAGGGTAATATTGACAGAGGACTCTCTACAGAACTAAATATTTATATCAGTAATATTTTCTTTAGCAAATAGTAATTCTAAATTTCAACAGAAATAAACTTCTTGAAGTTCAAGTGGCAGGAATTAACTTAAACAGGATAGCCTGATCCAGTACAACAAAGGAATTAAGGGTGTAGAGTACCACCATACCCCCCATTCCAAATATTAAATATTTGACTCAATAAGTACAATAAAAACCAGTTAGCTCCCTAAAATTCAGTAATTTAACAATTTAAGTTGCAAAAATGTTAATAATTGGTTAAAGAAAGTATTCAGAAGAACCAAAGTTTAAGATGATATTGGGAGTGGGTAGGGAGCAACAATTTTCTAAATCAACAATTTCATATGGTTTTCCTTGGAATGTTATAGTGAACTGTGCTCTGTTCAGAGTAAAAACAAAAACAAGTTCCCAAGGAAACTCAATAAGTAAAATACTTGTAGGTATACTACCCTATGACTAAGAGTTATATGTGTTTTTCTTTTGTGACAACACTAGCCCTGTACCTTCTTCAAATTAAGTAAATTCTAGAATGGCTAAAAATAAGGCAGAGTGGATTTAGTTTATCCCCTAAAACTTAATTTTATTCTCTAAAAGTATCTCTTCTCTTTTGAATAGTTAAGTTGCTAGGTTAATCAGTCAGTGATTGATTTTTTACATTTAGCTCACGTCCTAGTAAGAAGGCCTTTATTTGAAATACAGGTTATACAGCTAGAGTTCTTTAGCTATGTGCATAACAAAAGCACCTTAAATTTGGAACTTAGGAGTAATTTCCAGAATAGGTAATTAACAAGAGACTTCTCACAGCAATTTTTAAGTGCTCCTTCCAATGACACTTATGTTTCACTCTTAAAATTGATTAATGTTGATCTTTTCCAATTAGTACAAAAATTTAAATATGATTATGTAAATGTTTTAGATTTTATTCTGTAATGTAGAAGGATAGTGCTGTGGTTAAGAACACAGGTTTGAGTCAGGCTTCTGTTAGAATCCTCACTCTACCATTAAACCAGAACTTTGAACTTGGGTTAAATTACATATAACCTGTTAGAAACTTCAGTTGTTTCACTGTCAAATGAAAATAATAATGACAACTTCATATGGTTATAATTAAGTTATAAGTAATTTATACATGCACATCACTTTGACATATTGTGTGGGACATATAAGTATTTAGACATTAGCTATAGGTTATTATTAACAAGTACCAAATTAATGTTAATGGAAAAATTACATTGATCTTAAGTTTTTTCATAGATATTGTTTTGTGGTTGTGATTTTTATATTATATATGTGTGTGTGTATATATATATGTATTCCAGAATTGTGTGTATAGTTATGTGTCTACATGCAATGCTATAATTTAGTAAAGTTTGTTTTCTAGTTTTTATGATAATATTAAATACACCATCATTATTTTGGGGATTCCATAGAGAGCACCCTACAGTGCTTGTGCATTAGCATACAAACAAATGTGAAAACCAGTATCCCAAAGAAGAGAATTAGAAGACTTTTCAAAAATTTGTTGTTGATAGTAAAATTATGATATAATATTTCTGTTATAAGTTTTAGTCTTATGAAAGTGTTGATGAATTGTCATTTTTTTCTTTCTACAAAATGGGATTAGATGTGCTCTCATTTTCATTTTTTACTCTGTAGAAGAAATGGAAAAGGATTGTGATAGCATTTTGTTTTATTTGATTTCACAGAAGCCCTGATTCCACTGACTTTGTAGAAAAATATTTATACAATGATTACATTCAAATTTATTTGGTATAAAATTTAGTGCTATAATATATAGTGTCCAGACTTCTTAGAAAAACATTTAAAATACTTCTGATATGTACATCTAATTTTCGATTACTTAAAATAATGAGGAAAATGTTTCTGGGAGAAATTAATTTCCAGTCCGTGTTTGTGGTCTTCTAAACATTTTATCATGTTACATTACTTTTGATCTAGGTTTATAGTTCCAGAGGAGCAAGACAGTATAATTAAGCATGTTAGTGATGTATCAGTGAGTGCCTAGCAAAACTAATTGCTTAAAAAATTTATATTTTGTAATATTTTGTTAAACTAATTGGTCCAGCCAATCTGTGTAAATCTTACAATTTAATACCTATACTAAAAGCCTTGAAAACATTGTAAGATATTATTTAAAGATACTCACAGTAATTCTGTCCAGATTTAAGAATAATTTTTTTCTTACATAACCCTAAATATTTTTATTTCCACATAATCCTAAATATTTTTATTAGAATCAAAAGACTTTCTAAGGTATATTTATGACTGGAGGAGTGTTCAGAATAATTAGGGATTTAATTATTTCTTGTGTTTTTCAACTCTCCAGGAAAGCCACCTATATGAGTTTAATCAAAAGATGGATGTCAGTTTGTGTTTATTAGTGTTATTTCCATTAAAATAGCATTTTGCTTCTGCATCAGTGGGCAGAAGCAGAAATGTGAAAAAAATGTATGTCCTTGATTCAGCAAATATCAACTACAGTCATAAGTGAATGCTTTTCCATGTACTCAGAGACAATAAATTGCTTCTCCCGTCTCTTCGTTATGTCTTTCACTTATAAATCCAGAGCTACAGAGAATGATGCTTTAGCAGTATTTACAGGATTCTACACTACCATGTTTCTGATAGAACTTAAAGTTATTTTAGCTAAGTGAATACATAACTAAAGGTATTTTCACAGTGATAATGAGGTTTAAAACCCAGCAATCTAGTGTAATAGCATTTCATTAAAATTAGGGTACGAGATACCTAGGACCTAAAACTTGAGCTCTGACAGACTTTTAGGGTGGAAGAGAGACATGTGACTTATTTGGACAGGGATCCTCTGCCTCAAGTCACTATTGAGCCAGAGCACTTGTCTTCAAAGTTTTCTGTGTATATTTTTGGACGTGATGATTTTTGATCATTTTTCAATCAAATTTGACTTTTTAACACTAATTTTAATGTAGTGGTGAAGTATGAAGCAGATATTTTAAACTATTCTTTGCTGTGTCTAATATCCTTTCACTCTTACCAGTGTTTGTCCTTTCAGTCTTATAAAGTGTCATTTTTATGAGATTTCCTGCCATGTACAAAGTATTTCCGGAATCTTGCTTGAGTATCATGTAGTAAGTAGGTGTAGTAATGAAACATAGATAAGTACAGTGAAGAAATCAAAGTTAGTTTCACTATTGCAAATATTTTCTTTCTCTAACATTAGCTGTCACTGAAGTTCCTTTTGTAACAAAGATTACTACTAAGCATGGCGAGTGTAACAAAATGACTAAAATTTAAGTTTATATTTGATAAGAAATTTAGCTAAGTGAACATTTTGTATAGAGTATGTCTTTAATGTAAGTAAATGTTTGCAAAAGATAATAGCATATTTTTATAATTTTAAGACATTGCACATACGAATATATACCTAGAAGTTTAGTGAGGAAAAATTTTATTATGTAACAGCTTTACTGTTGATTCACAGGGAGCAGCCATATATTGTGACTTTCTGGTGATGGATTTTACCTAACAAAACAAATTGTATTCACATAAGATTTGTTTTTCTAATCACTTATAATGCCCCAGTCTGTGTTCCTCTCACCCCTTTATACAGTGTGGAAAACGAACAAGTAGATATACTTAAAAGGCTAAGGAAGCAGATTTGCTATCTCAGTTTTTAGTACTAATGGACAGGTTTATACATCTAGTTGCTTATTGAATACTTTGTCACTCAATTTCTGGTTTTCTTTTCAGATGGAGACTTTCAAAGGTTACAGTTATAATTATCAAGACACAGTGATTTTTGTGTAGGCCTCTGTCTTACATTAGATGGCCATGTTTAAAGTTCATTGTAGATATTATTTTTGCCAGTCACTGTTAGAGTCATGGTGATCAAAGGAGACGGAAACAATTGTTTACCAGAAACATTTTGCTAAAATACATTTTTAAAAAATGTGTTCACAAAATTGTTGAACAGTTATATAATCTGACCTCCCCCATTTGCTTTGAAGTATCAACATTATTCTTGGAAAGTCTTTATTTTTGAAATTTTTGAAAGTACATGACAGTAGAGAGAATGATACGGATCCCCATGTACCTATCTCTCAGTTTCAACATTTATCAACATTTTGCTATCTTGTTTGATATATTTCCCTTCATGTTTTTTTCTGTTTTGTTTTGTTTTATTGTGCTTTTGTTGGAATATTTAAAAGTAAATCTTATACGTTATATCAGTAAATACATTTGAGTGTTGCTTCCTGAGAACATTTGTTAACACAACTTAGCATTCAATCTTTAGGTACTCCAACTTAATAAAAGTTGCTAACATTAATTTAGTACTTTCTATTTAATTTTCTTTGATGTAGGTATAATTACAGTAGATGACTATCTTTATTATAGAGATTAAGAGGCTGGGCATGGTAATGTGCACCTATAGTCCCAGCTGTTCAGGAGGTGAGACAGGAGGATTGCTTGAGACCAGTGAGTTTGAGGCTGTGGTGTACTAGATTGCACCTGTAAATGGCCACTGCACTTGGCCTGGGCAACATAGAAGGACACCGTCTCTTAAAAAAGAAAAAGAAAGAAATTGAGACAGATCAAGTAACTACTACTTAGAAGTGGAACCAGAATTATATCCCAGGCAGCCTGACTCCAGAGTCCATCCTCTAGCCAATTT